ACCGTAAGTCTGTACCCTGTTTGGTCTAGGACATTGTCAGGTGGGTAGTCACCGTTATAGGAGCCTTATAGAAGGTCTATATACCTTATGGAAGCCTTATAGAAGCCCTATATACCCTAAACTCTAACCCTAAACCCTAAACCCTAAACCCTAAACCCTAAACCCTAAACCCTAAACCCTAAACCCTATATACCCTAAACTCCCCTCCTGTAGTTTCCTTTAACCAGGCCTTCATCAACTGGTTCTACTACTCCAGCGGAGGGCTCGATGGCATCATCAGATTTTTCTGGGGCCGCCCGAAGGCATCCGGACATTGAAACCACAAACCCTAAACCCTAAACCCTAAACCCTAAACCCTAAACCCTAAACCCTAAACCCTAAACCCTAAACCCTACATAAGCATTTCTACCTTTGGGGTTAAGGCCGTTTGGGGGTTTAGGGTTTTCGGGAACCAGATAACACACAGAAACATACACTTTTGAACCATATGCCCTTGTTGGGACATGATCTTCGAAGGTTGATATTGAGGTGCTAGGTTGGCTCTCAGTATTGCAGCCCTTGCAGCCCTCTTGTGTCATGGCCCGAATATCGGGATCCCTAAACCCTAAACCCTAAACCTTAAACCCCTACCACAAGCTTGTTACAGGAGATGTAGTGCCCGGGTAGGTACCCTTTCTAGTAGTACTTGAGGACCTGACGGCCTGAATTCGGACCACATTGCAAAACAGACCGCCTGAAGTCCAAAGTTTATAGGGTTGAGAGTTTAGGGTTCAGGGTTGAGGGTTTAGGGTTTAGGGTTTAGGATTCAGGGTTTAGGGTTTAGGGTTTAGGGCTCGAAGCCCTAAACTTCCACAGCCGAGGCTACATGATGGTGGTGTGCTTGGTGATCCCTTCCGTCTTGTTTAGAAGTCTCTCCGGACTGGGTACATGCATGCAATCAAGCTTTCACGGTCCAGTCTTTTAGGGTTTAGGGTTTATGATACCCCCCCGCCCGCCCCACGAAACCAGATATAAAACCACAGAGCACCACATAAAACCATAGAAGCCCCAATAACACCCTAAACCCTAAACCCTAAACCCTAAACCCTAAACCCCTAAACCCTAAACCTCAAACCCAAAACTCTTACCCTTCAGGGTTTAGCGGGGAAGCTTTTGGGGGTCAATTCTTAGGAGATCTTGGGGTGGAGACCCTAAACCCTAAACCCTAAACCCGGTGGAGACTAAGGCATGAGTGTATATCGACGTGCAGAGTGTAAAGCTCACGCTACATTGCCTGCCTTGCAGTGCCCGTCTGCCTGAAGCCTGCTGGTACGAGTCAATCGGCACTCCAAGTGCGTGCGTGGTGCACGTAGACTGAGCATTTCGAAGCTGAATCCTGATGTCTATGCATGAGTTCAGTTCAGCTGCCAGGAGAGGGAGGAACAGGAGCAGCGACACAAGCTGATGAGGCTTGGCTCCTTGTGGCTTGGGAGACTCCTGAGCCATGAGGGCAAAGATCCGTTATGATTTCTGCCATGATTCCGTGTTGGCGCGCTTTTGTTTCTTGTGGACATCAGCTAGTTGTGTCTCATGCAATTTGGTTAGTACATTCTGAGGTCCCAGACTACAAAAAATACCTTGGCTCTTCCATCCCTCGGTCCGCCGACCCGCGCACGCCCAGACCGTTTGCCCTAAGCCCCAAACACTCTGCAACCCCGAGGCCCCATTGCCCTAAGTCCTAAACTCTACACCCTAAACCCTAAACCCTACACCCTAAACCCTAAATCCTAAACCCTCAACCCTAAATCCTAAACCCTAAACCCTAAACCCTAAACCCGAAGCCCTAGACTCTAGGCCCTTTGCTTGCAGCCAGGCTCGGGAGGTATCTTCAGACCAAGATGACGCACGTGACCCGCCGCGATGCCCGGGCCATCCGCCGTGAGCACGCCGAACGGGTGGGCAGGCTCAGAGAGATTCCTTATGAGGCTGCCTTTAAGGGCTCCTTTAAGGACTCC